TTGGTGAATGCCACAAATTCTCCTAAATCACTCGTACGCACAACTTAAGAACAAATCTGTGCGTACGAACGGTTCTTGCATGAGGCCCATTGTTCTTGTAGCCTCTCTGTTCCACCTGCCCCCTCCCTTTCAGACACATACATCTGCCTTACAACAGCTGGCTTTCATTCGTATATATATTATAAAGTTTTGATTAGTTTTTTTATGACGTATGCTGCTGACCTCTTGGCCAGGTCCCATTTGGAAAAAGGATCATGATCTCAAGGGTTGCTAGGACTAAATGCAGTTCTCAACATGGAAAAGAGAAAAGGACAGACCTACAATTCACAGCACTGAGATAACAAAATGCCATTTGCCATTTATTATTTTAAGGACAAAACTGTGGAAGTTGGCAAAACTTTGTGGATAAGTACTGACGACCAGCAGTCCAAAATAATCATCCAGTGCCCTAATCTGGAAAATAAAGATGAACGGATGGAGCACAGAACACAGTTGGTAAAGCTGTTGCCTCTCAGCTTGAAGGTTGCTGGATCAAATCCCAGCCTGGGACCTTTCTGGGTGGTGTTTACGTGTACTCAACAGGCATGAGTGGGTTTTCTCCAGGCACCCCAGTTTCCTCTCACAGACCAAAGGCATGCATCTTAGGTTCACTGTTACACACTCTATGTCTCAAACAAATGTTTGTTTTTAATTGTTTAAACAGAAAATTTTGAACAAAATTATGTTCAAATCTGACTTAGTGACTTCAACTCAGAAGTTGAAAGTGGGCGAGTCTTTCAGAAACTCCTGGATCACTTTCTCTCCCCAGTCTGCATCTGGTGATGTGCAACAACAACATTTAAAAAATTCTTAAATGTTTTTGTTGCATTTGATTTTAGTGTGCCACCCTAAGGTTTTCAGTGGCCCCCACATGGTCACCCTGTTCCAAATTTCTGATTAAGTGTTTGGTCATTTACTTATTTGCAAACAATTTAGTATTTTTTTTTCAATGGACTAAATTTAAAACCATGTCTTAAGCATAATTTCCAGAGCACTCACTTTGGTTCCACCCACACTAATGATCCGATAGGTGTTGAGGTTGGCATCATAGAAGAAGGACACTGTGACAGCATGTTTGCTTGCAGGGATCCAGTTCCTCTTGGTGGTGGGATCAATCTGGAAAACATGGGCACGAGTGCTGAAGATAGGCTGCTCCCTAGAGAGGAAAGAAGGATGATTCAATTTAGTTAAAGAAAACTTTCTTAGCAGACAAAAATTTTATTCTTATTGTCAGTTGGCTAGATTTAGTTTTTTCACCCCTCTGTAATTAAGAGACTGAAAAATGGTGCTGTGGTTAAATGATAAGATTATAAAAATTACAACTCTTGCTATGCAGAAAAATGCATAGTCCCACTGGTTAAAGGCTCCACTGGTTGAATGAGTTAAGTACACAGTGGGAGAGATAAAAATATAATGAAACTGTTTAGAAAAAGTGCATTGTTCAAAAATGGTATGTAGGAATAAAACAGGAATCCAATGGATTTCTTGTAAAAAAAACTTTATTCTCAATCTTCTGACTCCAATCAGGTTCATACAGTAACTGCACTCAGCAGGCCTCGGTGTGAGACCTTGGACTGAACCCAAAACAAAACACAGGAGCCCTGCTCTGAGAAGAGACTTTGCCACACACTGACAACTTCCTACTACTATAATAATGAATTGACCTTATAATGTTCATCTCTTCCTGATCACATCCCTGGTGGTGTTATCTTTTATGTCAGACATAGAACGTAACTCAGTTTTGTTTAGGCTAAAGAAAGAACACATGATAAGACACACAACAACTCTTTGTCTGCTTTAACCTTAAAGGCTGCAATGATCAGAAAATATAAAATAAAATACTGCGTCTAATATTCAATTAATCAGTTACAAAAATTCCTTCAACTGCATGAGTAGAAAAAAAAAGTATTTTAATGATTACAGTGTCAGATCAAAAAGGTAACAAAGCTGGCAGTACAGTACTGGTTGCATCAGGTTTGTTTATGAGCCTGTTTCAGGTCTGGATGTGAGCAGAGATTCTGTGCAGATTGGAGTCGTACAGCCATCCTCCAGCAAATCAACCCACAGCTATTGGAACTGGACCTCCAGATCTAGTAGAGAATACATCAGAGCCAATTCCCACACATTTGTTTGTGGGATAGATCAGGAAAGCTGGCTGTGCATGGGAGGACCTAAACATGATGCAGGTGATCCATAGATATGTGCTGTGTGTTGCTAGTTGTCTAAAAGATTGTACCAGCGTGATGTCTAAAACATCATGGTGTGACAGGGCCCTTAGTGGAAAAGCAAAGCAGGAGTGTGTGACCGCATTTGACGAGGAAAAAAACAAAACAAAAAACAAACAAACAAACAAACTTTAAAGCTCTGCAGATTTTCAGGAAGCACCCCTGCAGCACTCCTCACACAGACAGTCCTTACCTTTCTCTGTGATGAAGAAACATCTTACAAGACTTCTTTGCTGTAAAACAAAGCATTAAACCCAGTAAATATCTTGTGTTCATCACAAAAAGACAGAGCAACTTCCCCTGCTGGAAATCCAACTCACCCCATGTCAGTTTGAAACCTTGCTGTTATCTAATAAGATTTTCTCGCTTCTTTCAATCCCAGCCTCCAGATTCTTTAATCTCCGTCCGGGGCATGGAGGTGGTGGTTTCGGAGTCCAGAGAGGGTCACAACCCGCCGCTGACCTCAGAGTCCACACGAGCTGATGTCCATGTCTTTGCGGTCACGCGTCAGCTTGATGTTTTCCTGCTGTCCGGCTGGCTGTGTGTCTGAGTCCAACCTGCTCCAATCTCCAGCTGCAAGTGGCAGGAAAAGTGTGTCAACCTGCATGTAGCCCATTGGCCCACATGTGTGCGCAGATTGGAAAGTGGATCACACACAGCTTAAGCTCTAGTTTCAAGGTTTTAGCAAATCACTGCAATGCATGACATTCAAAGTCCCGCCTCTGCTGAAAGATTGAAAGGCTTAGAATCCATAGTGCCTTTTATGTTACTTTTAGACTAAGATCCTCTTATGATGAGAAAGGATGGGGTTGAAGGTGTTTTTGTCAAACCTTGAAAATATTATGCAGGATCTCATGGGATTCAACTTTAAAGATTGAAAAAAGAGAGATAATGTAAAACCTGACAAGTTAACTCAAATGATTTGGGGAAACGTATTGCACCAATTCTTATAAAGGAGCAGTATATAAAATCAACTTTTTTGAGCTTTATATCATGTTATAACGTTCTCCTCTCATCAAAACCATGCCCAGAGTCTTGCTTTGACACATTCATGCATGTTTGAGAAATCCTGTAGTGTCCTGAGGCAGCCAGGCAGGGGAGCAAAAACAACCGGTTGGGACTAGAACCGCCTTTTGGGATCAGCTCCTCCTCCCGGCTGTGTTTCTGAACAGAGCACACCTCCCCAACGACTCCTGCAGGCTATTGGCAACATTTAAAGCAGGGCTATTCAACTAAATTGCTCCGGGGGGCACAGTTACTGCAGGTCAACATCTGAGGGGCCGACCATCGAGCAATTGAAGTTGTTATGTAAATAAACCAAGTATAATAAAGATCTGTTACCTTTGAAATAGTTTATTTTGCTGCATTTAATCATGAATACAACATACAGAACCCTATAAAAGTAGTGATAACTAAACAATATCAAAAACAAAAAGAACGCTTTATGCCTCTTTTTTACCACAAATATTATTTTGACATCTCTGACTTGCCAAATTTTTAAAGCAAACATTTTTTCACTTTCATAGTTTTATCTTCTACTTGTAGTTTTAACTGTTTTTGAGTGTGCAAAAAATGCTTTTTACCAACTTCTAGTCAAGATTCTGATGTTTCTGTAGGTACAAAACATGTCTATGTTTAACTGAGTAATTAAAGTAGAAAACCGGGGGTTTGGGTTTAAGAGATGAATAATTAAAACAATTGGCAGGCTGAACTTTGGTCACTCGCAGGCCGGATGTGGCCTGCGGGGCGCCAGTTGAATAGCCCTGATTTAAAGGGAACTAGCAAACAACTAAAACAGCATCTGCTGATCTCATAATACTTCACAGTCCAGTCCTTTTCAGATTTAAAACTGCCTCTGAGGAAATGTATTTCAGATACCAAGGATGACACAACTCATAATCAACTGTAAGAGAGAAAAACTATAATGATGTTCTCAAACTCAGACATGTTTTGTATTAATTTGGTTAACAAGAGATTTTTAACACCCAGAACTGTGATGAGGAGGGAGATATGGAGTTAGGACCTGTGATCAGCTCAATGAGATAAATATAAAGTTTGTCTGTGATCTTTCATAAAATAACTATGTTCACCTAAAATGTTCACACTCACTCATTCCTGAACACCTGTGGGCTGGTGCATATAGGGCAGTGATAAAATTAAACTAAGCATGTCTGTCTCTGGCAAGAGTCTCCAGGTTCCCCCAGGTCTTGTTCTGGGCCGTGGCCTCAGCCTCCTATGCTCTCCTCTATGTAGTCCTTGGCCTACCCCACTTCCGCTTGCCTTCTGAAGTCCATCTCAGCACCGTTCTCACCAGGTTGTTGGGATCCCTCCTCAGCACATGACCAACCCATTGCCATTTTTTTTCTTGTGATTGTCAACAATGTGCTCTTTCATAAAATAACTATGTTCACCTAAAACTGTGATCATTGGTATGTTGTCCATATTAAAATCCCAACTCAATATCAAACTGCACATTGTGTGGGTATGTATGTGTGTGTGTGTGGGGGGGGGGGGGGGTAATGTCAATGTCTAACTGATATGTTTATATGTTTAACTGCACATTGGAGACTGGTGAAAAGCAATTTCAATTTCTGTGCTAACTGTTACATTGATTTTGACAATAAAGTACACTTGAACTTGAACTTTTCTGATGAAATCCAGATTATTTACCAAATTCGGTTAAAAACAAGCAAAAGGCAGATTTTTGTAGACATTTGTTATTCAGCCAAATATATTTGAGGACCACAGGACCCGTAATTACAGATAAAACGTTATACGAATCTTAAAAAACAACTCAGGTTTAAGAAGTGCATACCATAAAATTTTCACAATTTTTTGAAAATGAATACCTAAATACAGACCAGTGCTCATTCCATATGTTGCAGGAGTTTCAGAGAAACTGAGACGTTTATTCTCTAAACATGACGTCCCAGTGGCTTTCAAACCCCAAAACATGTTACGACAAAGATTAATTCACCCCAAAGATCCAGTTCCCCGGCAAAAACAGAGTAATATAGTATATGCTGTTAAGTGTCAGGAGGACTGTGATCATTTATACGTTGGGGAAACAAAACAACCACTGTTCAAAAGAATGAGCCAGCACAGACGAGCTACATCGTCAGGTCAGGACTCCACTGGCGCCGGAATGGGGTGGGGGGCAGGGGGCCATTGGGCACACCACTTTATGGCCCTGCCCATCAGCTGGTCCCATTTACAGGCTGCACCTGACGCTGACAAGTTTTGACGGATGTCTCTGTGTCTACATACAGACAGAGGCACAGACAAAACCGACAGCATTAAGATCAGGACTAAATCTGTTTATAAGTCATCAGATCCACATGTTTGGGTTTTGCAGCTCAGCTGATGATGCGTGCACGCGTCACAAGCTGGAGGCTGGAGTTTATCTACTTGATGTTCATGTTGGTGAAGTATTCTCCAAAAGGCAGTAAAGTCCATAACTTGTACAATGATTTGAAAATGGGAACAAGCTCTTGATAATAAGTTAATAAAGTATTTAAATGGGGAGCAGTGCACACAACCCGAACAGTCGGAGGGTTTACGCAAATTCTCCAGCTCTGGGTCCGGCTGATCATGAGCCTGCCTGACACGTGCAAAAAACGTTTTGGCTCTGATCCCAGCCGGGTCGACCAAATCAACTTAAAAATAAAATAAGAATTTTGTATTTTGTGCCACATCTCTGGCCCAAACCTGTGCGCAACCATCCGATCTCCAGATCCAAGCTGGTGGGTTGTGGAGAGAAAAAATAAATAAATAAAGGAGCCCATGATCCTTTACAGGTCCGGTCCAAATGCTCACCTATAATTGGCCCAGAGCAGATAACTTTTCCTGCCAGTGTTGACAAATAATTGCGTGGAGTTTGTCATTACTGTCATTACAGACGAAGAAATTTATTATTTTCTTTATTTTCCGCAAAATAAAGTTTGTTGTTAACAACATTACTTAAATTGTTTGCTTTACTCACCATCTCTTGCATAAAAATAGTGTTTCAGCACAAGTTTCTGACCCGCTGTTCCAAACTCCATTGTGGATATTATTTACGTGTGTTTAGTTTTTTCATGGTAATTTATAAAGAAGTTAGATTTACTATGATCATCATTAAAACAATCACAGGTGAAAACTTCAGTATTTAATTGTTGCTTGATGATGAGTCGATAAAGCTTGATGCGTAATTAAACTGTTATAATAAAAAAAGTATAATCATCGCGAATTAAACTTAGTAGACCAAATCTGTTTTTATGAGAAAATACAACAAATGATTAACAAAAGCAGGCTAACGTCCCTCCTTTTCCTCAGAAAATGTGCCGCAAATTCTAACACTTGTGTCAGTATTGATTCAGGAAATTAATGTCTAAACATCTTATCCATGACTGCAGTTTGTTTTATTTAGGTTTTTCATTTTCAAAAGAAAGACTTTACAGTACGCAATGAGATTACCATGTGGCAAGATTCAACGTGTGCGCCTGACGTTCAGAGCGCCTACGAACAGAGAGCATTCTCATGTCGGACTCATCAACTTATTGACGTTTGTCCAGGGACCGTCTGCGTCCAGTTTTGGCGCACCGGGTATCCCCAATGTGTCCATCCTTGCCGCCCGCGGCTGATGACCATAGAGCTAATCAAGCCTATTGTTAGACGATGGCCCTCTTTTGCATGTGACTAACCTGTTTGTCCATGTGGAGGCAGGGCTTATAAGGCTGAGTTCACCTGAAACTCCTCAGACTGAAGAAGTCTCCTGGAGGAGAGACAAAACGTTTCACTAAAGAAGAACCCATCCAGAGGACCTACTTATTTTTTCTTTTTAATTTTTCTACCTGGGTTACTGAGATGCATCAGCACAGTTTAAGTTTTACTGTATCCCCTATCTGTTTCACAGCTGAGAGACTGAGTTGGAGTTCAGGGTCTGCAGAGCTCAGACTCTTGATCACTCAGAAAACTGCCTCCTAATGACTTGTGATCTATTTAGAGTATTTAGAAAAAAAATCACATAGTGTACACAAAGTAGACAATATCTTCAGCATGGAAGAAGAACAAACTAAATAAGGACATGTCTGAGTTTCGTTTAATATTTTTGTCTCTCCAGTCTCCTTTTCATAAGTTTGGCCCTTAAAATTGACAGTTGTAACAAGGAAAAACTCAATTTGAATATGTTCAGTAGCTGGGTATTTCATCTGATTGAGTCAACAGTGCACATGTGGCTTTGACAGTGTTCACTGTCAACATCTTGTGGCCAGAAGCTGTACTTCACTAAATTAA